AATAAATGATGTTAAGAAAACTTTATATCCGGCCGGGCGCGGTGGCTCAAGCCTGTAATCCCAGCACTTTGGGAGGCCGAGGCGGGTGGATCACGAGGTCAAGAGATCGAGACCATCCTGGTCAACATGGTGAAACCCCGTCTCTACTAAAAATACAAAAAATCAGCTGGGCATGGTAGTACGTGCCTGTAGTCCCAGTTACTCGGGAGGCTGAGGCAGGAGAATTGCCTGAACCCAGGAGGTGGAGGTTGCGGTGAGCCAAGATCACGCCATTGCACTCCAGCCTGGGTAACAAGAGCGAAACTCCGTCTCAAAAAAAAACTTTATATCCATATGCAGAGAAAGAAAATTGAGACCCTCATTAGCCAATTTAATGTAAGGCCTAAAACTCTGAAACTGCTAGTACCAAAAAATGGAGTCAAAGCCCCATAAACGTTGGTCTGGGCAGCAAGTTTTTAAATTTAACCTAAATATCTCAGGACACAAAAGGAAGAATAAATAAGTTAGATCACTTCAAATTAAAAAGCCGCTGCACAGAATCTGATACAATCAACAGAATGTGACAATTAAAAAGAGAAAGAAAATATTTGTAAATTATACAGGGGTTAATAGCAAAAATATATTAAAAACTCAAATGACAACAAAAAAATCATTAAAAATAAGCAAATAGCTGAAATAAGTATTTTTTTAAGAATATACAAACATATAGCCAACGGATATATTTAAAAACATTCAATGTCAATTATCACAAACAGGCAAGCCAAAAAAAACCACTATGAAATATCAACTCATTCCTGTTAGAATGACTCTCATTAAAAAGCAAGTGTTGGTAATATGGGATGCTTATAAAATGTTGAATATTCCACGTGTGACAAAATTATTGAAATTGTGAACTGGCACAAGCCGGACCATTATCATTTATTTTTGGGGCCTGTCCCATAAATGCAAATGTTAAAAGATGTCTAATGACATTGAGAAAACTCTCCAGGGATGGTGTGTACACTGATTAAATGAGTGTTTGTGTCAATGAATACATGTACATATCTTAGTTTTCCAAATGCAGGGATGTAACATCTGTTTGCCATAACTGATTAGGTTCTAATCTTGTAGAGTTAACACCTGTTGAAGGCGGTGATGTGCCTGTGAGCTGGCAATCCGAGCATTGTAGGATACTTTGTTTATCCAGTATATGGGTAAGTTGAAATTGTTTAGATAAGTTTACCCAATTTTGATGGAAAAAGTGATGCAATTGCATGGCTTGGTCAAGCAGTGATGTCATAATCTGAAGGTCTGCTTGATTATTGCCATAAACCAATGGGCCAGGAAGTGAGTTCTAGGCTCAACTGTCTGTAATAAAAATAGGATGTGTATATTGACCTATAAATTGCTGAAGTTGAAGAAAAAGAGCACAAAGGGTAGGTTCCTGAGTGGTCTCAAGGTTCTGCGGTAAATAATAAGCTAGGCCGGGTGTGGTGGCTCACGCCTGTAATCCTAGCACTTTGGGAGGCCGAGGCAGGTGGATCACGAGGTCAAGAGATCGAGACCATTCTGGTCAACATGGTGAAACCCCCGTCTCTGCTAAAACTACAAAAAATTAGCTGGGCATGGTGGCGCGTGCCTGTAGTCCCAGCTACTCAGGAGGCTGAGGCAGGAGAATTGCTTGAACCCAGGAGGCGGAGGTTGCGGTGAGCCGAGATCGAGCCATTGCACTCCAGCCTGGGTAACAAGAGCGAAACTCAGTCTCCAAAAAAAAAAAAATAATAAGCTGAATCACTAACAATATGAGGGGCTGAGTGTAAAAACTTTCCAAAGCCATTAGGGCCTCAATCTCAGCTTTCTGAGTGCTAGTAAACCCAGATTAAGGGAAGGAATTATGTGGTCTCCAGCAAATTGCTGCTTTTTCATGTTTATCCAAACCATCAGTAAACAATGTTAAATAATTAGGTATGGGGTAGTAAACTATTTTTGTGGGCAAGACCATAGGAGTATGAGATAATAAATGAAAGAGTTAATCAGCAGGAAAGACATGCTCTATTTGTCCTGTGTAATCAGAGTGCTATTTGCGAGTCCATTGATAAGGGCAATACTGCTTTGAATTTCTTTTTACTTAAAGGAATCCTGATATCAGGATCATAACCTAGCCACTGATTGCATCATCTGTGGCCTGAACGGATGATTTTACTAAGTAACTGGATATAGGGAGAAGTGTTTTAAAAAGTCCCAGTATGTGAGCAACAAACCCATTCTAGAAAGCGCAGTCTTAGGGTCATCTATCCTATTAACCCTCTAGGGGAGTGTTTGGTGAGAAAAATAAACAATTGAATAGTGTGGCTCAATGCAATCTAGTTGCCTTTGAGAGACAGCTTGTTCTATTTCCTCGATTCCCTTTTTGTTGTAGGGGTTAAATATTTGGGAGAATTCAGGGCTGTATTGCCCTTTAAGACAGCAAACAGTGTTTGCAGCTTTTAAGAATGCCTAAAGTGAGGGGAGGGAGCCAGTTGATATTGCCTAGCAATTTCTGATGATCATTTCAGGTGCGTAAGTTGCTAGTATTTAATTTAACCTTTTGAGGCCTTACTGACTAGGAAGTTAGTATGTACCCAAGATATTTCCAAGGAGAGGACATTTGTACCTTTTCAGGAGCAATGATTAAACCTCTTAGCTGTTAATTATTTATGACAGAGGTAAATAATTTAAAAGCATTGGCTCCATTAGGGCTGCTAGTAGAATATCATCCATGAAATGAATAACCTTGCAATCAGGAAATTCTACTGGGGAACAAAGCTTGATTTACCTGATACTGACACGTGGTAGGGCAGTTTAGCAGTCTTTGAGAAAGTACTTTCCAATGAAATTAACAAGCTGGCCTTTCATTATTGATACCTGGTATTGTAAATGAAAACTTTTCTCTGTCCTGGTCTGCTAGGGAAATTGTATGAAAACAGTCCTTTAAGTCAATAATGATTATAGGCCATTCTTGAGGAATCATCATGGGGGAAGGAAGCCCCTGCTGAAGGGTCCCATAGGTTGCAAATCGGCATTGATAGCATGTAAGTCATTGCAAAAGTCTCCATTTCCCAGACTTTTTGGGAATGTTAAAAATGGGCGAATTCCAGGGACTATTAGATGGTTCTCTATGCCCAGCTTTTAATTGCTCATCAACTAATTCATGGGCCTTCTGCAGTTTCTCTCCCTTCAGAGGCCACAGTTCTACTTAAATTGGATCAGAGGTAGGGGAGGAATATTAACAGTGGTCTTGTTAGAAAGGGGTCTGCAGAGTCACCCACATTGGGCTAATAGGCCCTGTCCCCAAAGGTTAACAAGAATGGGCACGATTAGAGGTTGTGTAACTTCCTTTCTTCCTTCTGAATCACAAGAGGTTAGGGGGCATGTGCTCTGCTTGACTGTGTGCACATCTCCAATGCCAACAATTGTTTGTTTCTAAGTGACCCGGGGCCAAGTTTCTGGCCAGTTTTGATCACTAATTGAAATGTCTGCCCATGTCCAATAAGACAGTAAACTTATTTTTGATTTTTAAGGTAATTATAGGTCTCTGATCAATGATTTATTCTAATATACTCCTGTGGCTCCTGTGCTTTTAAAACTTCCCTTTCCCTTTTGCTTTCCATGGGCATTGGAAACCTAGTATGGTAAAATCAGTAACTGAGCTACCTTTGGTCCAGAGAGAATAAGCAGACCTTTACATTCCATTATAACCAATATCTCACCTCGGTAATCACTATCAGTTCTCCAGTGAGCACATTCAATTCTTTACTGGATAGGCTTGACCACCATAGGACTGCTCCCACTGTCCCCAGAGGCAACGGGCCCCACATCCCAGTTGCAACCCTTTTAGGGTCATCTTCTTTTAGCACTTATTTGTTGGGGCAGAGTAAGTCCAGTCCTGCACTCCCCGTGGTGACTGCCCTCAGAGAGGACTGTGGAGTTTCCATCTAACCAAGGAAAGCTGCTGGCATTGCCCCAGTTTGAAGTGGGGCCCAGGGATGGTCCCTCATGAAGGTTCCCACCTGGTTACTTACGTGGTTTCCATTTTTGTCAAATTTTGACCTGCATTGATTTGCCCACTGTTTCCCCTTACTTTAGTGACATATAGAAGGGGGTTCTTTCCCTGAGTTACCTTGGTCTCTACTATGGGGGAATTTCCTTTTCATATGCTCTGGCTTTCCACAGAGAAATCATTTTGATTTCTCTCCCTTTTCACTTTAGGAGGCCTAATGCCATAGCCAAGATTTTGGCTTTGTGTGTCTCAGTTCCGACCAGCTGACATGCTCATGTAAGTTCCCCAACTGTAACTGCCTTTCCTCTGATTGCCTGCATTGCTTGCTGGCAATCCACGTAAGCATTTCCAAAGTCAATTGCAACAAAAAGATAGCTGCCTGGGTGTGACAAATTTATCTCTAATTGCCTGGGTTAACCAATTGATAAACTCAACAAATGGCTCCTGAGGCCCTTGTTGAACATTTATAAAAGATCCCTATTAAACTCTGCTTTTGGGAATCTGGTCCCAAGCCCTGAGAGCATACAGACACTTGGGCATAGGCCTGGGGATCAAAATCTAGTTGCACATTGGCATGGGGACCCCTCCCCTGGAGCATAGCAGCTGTTATGTGTTCTTAAAGGCTTTGCCATGTTTTTCACACTCATAGGATTTCTATACAGAATTTTTTTTTTTTTTTTTTTTTGAGACGGAGTTTCGCTCTTGTTACCCAGGCTGGAGTGCAATGGCGCGATCTCGGCTCACCGCAACCTCCGTCTCCTGGGTTCAGGCAATTCTCCTGCCTCAGCCTCCTGAGTAGCTGGGATTACAGGCACGCGCCACCATGCCCAGCTAATTTTTTGTATTTTTAGTAGAGACGAGGTTTCACCATGTTGACCAGGATGGTCTCGATCTCTTAACCTCGTGATCCACCCGCCTCGGCCTCCCAAAGTGCTGGGATTACAGGCTTGAGCCACCGCGCCCGGCCTACAGAATTTTTTTTTTTAATGCTTTTTAAGAGTTGAGGACATTCTTACATTTGTAGAGTTTCTCTCTGCTACGAGTTATTTTGTTTAGTAAGTTATGAGCACTGGTTGAGAGAATTTCCACATTCTTCACAGTTGTAGGGTTTCCTTCAAGGATAATTTTTCCTATGTTTAGTAAGAGTTGAGGTTTGGTTAAAGGCTTTATCACATTCTTCAGATTTGTAAGACTTCTATCCAATATGAATTATCTTATGTTTACTAAGATTTGAGGATTGGTTAAAAGCTTTGCCACATTCTTCACATTTGTAGGGTTTCTCTCCAGTGTGAATTCTCCTGTGTGAAGTAAGGTGTGAGGAATGGGTAAAAGCTTTGCCACATTCTTCACATTTGTAAGACTTCTCTCCAGTATGAATTATCTTATGTGTAGTAAGGTTTGAGGATTGGTTAAAAGCTTTGCCACATTCTTCACATTTGTAAGGTTTCTCTCCAGTATGAATTATCTTATGTTTGGTAAGTTTTGAGGAGTAGTTAAAGGCTTTGCCACATTCTTCACATTTGTAGGGTTTCTTTCCAGTATGAATCATCTTATGTGTAGTAAGGTTTGAAGACACATTAAAGGCCTTGCCACATTCTTCACATTTGTAGGGTTTCTCTCCAGTATGAATTCTCTTATGTTTAGTAAGGGTTGAAAACCAGTAAAAGCCTTTGCCACATTCTTCACATTTGTAGAATTTCTCTCCAGTATGAATTATCTTATGTTTGGTAAGGAATGAGAATCGATAAAAAGCTTTGTCACATTCTTCACATTTGTAGGGTTTCTCTCCGGCATGAATGAACTTATGTGTAGTAAGAGATGAAGAATGGTTAAAAGCTTTGCCACATTCTTCACATTTGTAGGGTTTCTCTCCAGTATGAATTATCTTATGTGCAATAAGGTGTGAGGATGTGTTGAAGGCTTTGCCACATTCTTCACATCTGTAGGGTTTCTCTCCAGTATGAATCATCTTATGTGTAGTAAGGGTTGAGGAGTGCTTAAAAGCTTTGCCACATTCTTCACATTTGAAAGGTTTCTCTCCAGTGTGGATTCTCTTGTGTGTAGAAAGGGCTGAGAACCGCATAAAGACTTTGCTACATTCTTCACATTTGAAAGGTTTCTCTCCAGTATGGATTCTTGTGTGTCTAGAAAGGTGTGAGGACCGTTTAAAGACTTTGCCACATTCTTCACATTGATAAGAATTATCTCTAATATGAATTCTTTTATTTTGACTTAGGTATAAATGCATGCAAAATGATTTGTCACATTTTTTACATTTGAAAGTTTTCTTTCCAGTACGTCTTGTCTTATGTCCGTTTGAATTTAAACATTTAAGAAAGACTTTCATATATTTATCGCATTGAACTATTTCACTCTGGGTAGCTGTCAAACACTGGTTTAGTTCATTATAACCTTCTTTGTGCACCTTACACTCATCCACACTTGCAGAGCCTTTTCTTAACTGTAAATTCTCAGGTCCACATTTTCCATATCTTCTCAGAATCACTTGTTGAAAAGAATCTTTTATGTCTTGCTCTGGCCAAAGGTCTTTGACAAAATAGGAACATGTAGCTAAAATAAATAAATTTTAAAAAAATTATTCAACTTACTAGACTTAAACTCTACAAATATAACCTATATTATACAAATTAAATAAGCAAGATGCCATAATAAAATACCACAGGCCCTAAATCCTTCATAGACATACAAATGTAATAAAAATATACTGACCAAAATACATTTGAGAAAAACTTATAAGTGTGTAAAGTTCCCCAGGTGGGTACAATGCAAAGACACAGAAGAAAATGAAAAGTCTGTTATATTTACCCAACACAGTTCTTCCTGCTCACCAATCTAACACAGTGCCTTTTCAAAGTAAATTCCTAACTTTTGGTTTCTTTTTTAATGTACAAGTAAAATACTGACACATACATCTGTATTACTTGCTTCTAGGGGCTGTTCCAGAAACTAGTCTCCCATAACATAAAGTGCTGAAAGAAACGATGGTGTATTTTGGAATGACAGTTTGAATCTGAGACCAAAGGTAAATGTTACAACAGCAGAGAGACTGCAATACAACAGACAGAAAACAGATATCGCAGATGATTACTGATGAACCAGAAATCAACTCTTTTAACTGAAAAATATGCACAAAATTTTAGACCAGATACATTCAAAGAACATGTTTGAGAGTCTCCCAGGATCTCTGTCCAAGATAACTTTTCAGACTATACCAGGACAAAGCTACATTATAAAGGTTGTGACAGGTAGCGTTCTTTAATGTCAAAATCTTAATCATAGATTACAATGAATACAAAATAGGGCAAAATTGTTCCATCAAAAATATTATAAAATTTTCAGAAAGAAACCATAAAAAACATGTATACATTAATTTTAACAATTGAAAATATATTGAATATTCAATGAGTAAAATAGGAACACAGAGTACTATAAAAAATAGGTCACGGGTCAAAGTTCAGGAAAATTTAATGAATTTAAAAATTTTAAAATAAAAAAATAGAAAATGAGGATAAGAACAATTTTTTTTTTTTTTTTTTTTTTTTTGAGACGGAGTTTCGCTCTTGTTGCCCAGGCTGGAGTGCAATGGCGCGATCTCGGCTCACTACAACCTCCGCCTCCCGGGTTCAGGCAATTCTCCTGCCTCAGCCTCCTGAGTAGCTGGGACCATGCCCAGCTAATTTTTTGTAGTTTTAGTAGAGACGGGGTTTCACCATGTTGACCAGGATGGTCTTGATCTCTTGACCTCGTGATCCACCCGCCTCGGCCTCCCAAAGTGCTGGGATTACAGGCTTGAGCCACCGCGCCCGGCCAAGAACAAAATTTTTAAAATATCCAAAAAGAAATTGTAAAGGTTAAAAAAATATATATATATAACTAAAAAATTCTGAAAGAAAAAATGATGTCAAAATGAAGAAGCTCAACAAACTATGAGCACACACAAAGATATTTATAACAAACACATATGTAAACACAATTTCAAAAGTCACAGACAAGATGATGATGGAGATGCAAGATAAAAATGTGTCATTTACAAGCACAGTCTTATGAGATAGCTTATGAACTGTCAACAAAAACTTTGCAGGTCAGAAGGAAATTGTGTGATATAATCAAAGTCCTTAAAAAAAAAAAAAAAAAAAAAAAAAGAGCTATCAAATGAGAATACTACTACCGGCATATCTGTCCTGCCAAACAAAAAGAAAAAAACCTTCAAAAATAACCAAATTCTGAAAAAGTCTAATGGCACTTGATATGCTCTAAATATAAAAGGTGCTTAAAACAGCTGCTTCTACTGAAAATATCATGATTCAACAAATAACATATAATTATACAAAATACATTATTATCTGGGAAAGAAATGCACATACACAAAAATAAAACTTCTTAGCATTGTAATAACGATGCAAAAAACATTTCTAAAATTTGAAAGGTATTGCGTGAACCCGGGAGTCAGAGATTGTAGTGAGTTGAGATTATGCCATTGCACTCCAGCCTAGGCAACAGAGTGGGATTGTCTCAAAAAAAAAAAAAATCCTCTAAAATTTGAAAAGTAAAAGCATAGAAATCATTATAAGTATTTGTTAGTGAATATATGACATACATAATTAGGAGAAAAAATTTTTGAATGCAACTGAAGTTCATTTTTTTTTTTTTTTTTTGGCGACGGAGTTTCGCGCTTGTTACCCAGGCTGGAGTGCAATGGCGCAATCTCGGCTCACCACAACCTCCGCCTCCTGGGTTCAGGCAATTCTCCTGCCTCAGCCTCCTGAGTAGCTGGGATTACTGGCACGCACCACCATGCCCAGCTAATTTTTTTGTAGTTTTAGTAGAGACGGGGTTTCACCATGTTGACCAGGATGGTCTCGATCTCTTGACCTCGTGATCCACCCGCCTCGGCCTCCCAAAGTGCTGGGATTACAGGCGTGAGCCACCGCGCCCGGCCTGAAGTTCATTTTTTACCAGATTAAAATACATTGTTGTCTCTTTTAGAGGTTTTATGTAATCCCCCAGGTATCATCACGAATATATATCTATGCAGATAAAGAACTAAAAGCATATCAAGATAAGTATAAAAAAGACACAAACACAGAAAAATAGAAAATGAGGAACAAAGATACAAGAAGCAAATAAAAGATTTCTAAGTCTTCATAAGTGAAGAAAAATAAAATTCTTTTTAGACAAGCAAATGCTGAAAGAATACATTACCACCAGGCATGCCTTGCTAGGGCTCCTGAAAGAAGCACTAAATATGGGAAGAAAAAACCATTACCAGCCATTGCTGGTACAAAAAACACACTGACGTACAAAGATCCATGATGGTATAAAACAACCACATCAACAATTATGTAAAATAAGCAGCTAGCATCCCTTGGACAGACTCAAAATCACACATAACAATATTAGCCTTAATTATAATAGGCTAAATGCCTCAATTGAAAGACACAGAAGGGCACACTGCATAAAGAGTCATGACCCATTTGTGTGCTGTATTCAAGAGACCCATTTGACTGAAAAGAAAAGTAGGCTCAAAGTAAAAACATGGAGGAAAATTTACAAAGGAAATAGAAGCAGAAAAAAGGGTTGCAATCATAGTTTCTGACAAAACAAACTTTAAAGAGCAAGGAGCACCCAGATTCATGAAACACATTCTTAGAGACCTACAAAAAGACTTAGACTTCCACATAATAATAGTGAGCGACTTTAACACCTCATTGTTAATATTAAAGAGATCAATGAGACAGAAAGTAACAAGAATATTCAGAACTTGAACTCAGCTGTGGGTCAAGTGGACCTGACAGATAGCTACAGAACTCTACAGCCACAAACACCACAATACACATTCTTCTAAGTTCCACATGGCACTTACTCTAAAATTGATGACATAATTGGAAGTAAAACACTTCTCACAAATGCAAAAGAATTGAAATCATAACAAATAGTCTCTCAGACTATAGTGAAATCAAATTAAAACTCAAGAGTAAGACACTCACCACGTGTGATGGCTCATACCTGTAATCCCAGCACTTTAAAGAGGCCGAAGGTTGTGGATCGGGTGAGATCAGGAGGTTGGGATCAGCCTGGCCAACATGGTGAAGCCCCATGTCTGCCAAAAATACAAAAAATTAGCTGAGCAGGATGGCACATGCCTGTAGTCCTACCTACTCAGAAGACTGAGGTACAAGAATCACTTGAAGCCAGGAGGCAGAAGTAGCAGTGGGCCAAGATCATGCTACTGTCCTCCAGCCTGGGTGGCAGAGTAAGACTCCCATCTCAACCAAAAAAAAAAAAAAAAAAAAAAAAATCAAGAGTAAGAAATTCACTCAAAACCATACAACTATATGGAAATTGAGCAACCTGCCCCTGAATTTGACTTCTAGCCAAATAATACAATTAAATCAGAGGCCAGTATCTGCGGCCACACCCTTCTGACCATGCTTGATCTCAGAAGCTAAGTAGGATCGAGACTTGCTGAAACTTGGATAAGAGACCACCTGGGAATACAAGGTGCTGTAGGCTTTGGCTGGACACAGTGGCTCACACCTGTAATTCCAACACTTTGGGAGGCCGAAGCAGGCAGATCACCTGAGGTCAGGAGTTCAAACAAGCCTGGTCACCATGGCAAAATACCATCTCTACTAAAAATACAAAATATTAGCCAGGCATGGTGGTGGGTGCCTGTAACCACAGCTACTTGGGAGGTTGAGGCTGGAGAATCATTTCAATCTGGGAGGCAGAGGTTGCAGTGAGCTGAGATTACACCACTGCACTCCAGCCTGGGTGACAAGAGAACTCCGTCTCAAAGGAAAAACAATTATAAATCAAGAAATTCTTTGCAACCAATGAGAATGAAGAGACAAGGTACAGAATCTCTGGAACACAGCTAAAGCAGTGTTAAGGAGAAAATTTATAGCACTAAATACCCACATCAAAAAGCTAGAAAGAGCCAGGCATAGTGGCTCATGCTTGTAACCCCAGCACTTGTCAGAGGCTGAGGTGGGTGGATCACCTGAGGTCAGGAGTTCAAGACCAGCCTGGCCAATATGGGGAAACCAGTCTCTACTAAAAAAAATACAAAAATTAGCTGAGTATGGTGGTGGTCACCTGTAATCAATTCCAGCTACTTGGATGGCTGAGGCAGGAGAATCACTTGAACCTGGGATGCAGAGGTTGCAGTGGGCCGAGATGACGCCACTGTACTCCAGCCTGGGTGACAGAGCAAGACTCTGTCTCAAACAAAAAAAAGTATAAAACTAGAAATATCTCAAATGGAAACCATAACATCATAACTAAAAGTATGAGAAAACCAAGAGCAAACAAACCTTAAAGCTAGCAGAAGACAAGAAATAACCAGATTCAGAGTGGAAGTGAAGAACACACAGAGAAAAAATCCTTAAAAAAAAAAAAAAAAAAAATCAATGAATCCAGGAACTGTTGGGTTTTTACAAAATTAATAGACTGCTAACTAGACTAATTAAAAAATGAAGAATGCAACAGACAATAAAAATTGATAAAGGGGATATCACCACTGACACCATAGAAATAAAAACAACCTG